CACTGTAAAGCCCAAGAGCTTCTAAAACAAGTGGTCTTGTGCCTTGTCCCTGCCTATCTCCAATGCTGACCCATGGAAAAAGTCTTCCGACTCTTCAAAGCGTTTCTTCTGGGAGACAGCTCCACACAAGCAGAACGTGTTAACACTGCTGTTTCTCGAATTGTTTTCCATTTTGAATAAAGATGTTACGGGCTCGCTTGCATCATGATCCTACATAGGCTTCTCCTTTGGTCATTCTTCTAACATTGTCGGTAATTTTTGTTAAGCATTTATGTAAATACAGTCCTATGATCACATTTTCTTTCTTGTATATCCATTTTGATGTTTTGGGAGGAAATCACTGGCTATCTCCACATTTGTTTAGTTGTGTTGTACTGTTAATCTATCCCCCAAATCTTCCTATGATAAAAACATGTTTGTTTTTTGCTTTTTATTTTGAAGGTAGTAAAATACAACAAAACAAGACAGAACAAAGCCCATGGAAAAATGCGATGAAATTGGTACAGAACTTCAGGCAGGATACCGGGGTAATAGTACCATAGTGTATCTTGTTATCTTCACAATGGTTGTCCTTTCAATCAGGTATAGCAAAATCAAACCAAAAACAGAACATTATAAAACCTATCAAAAAGAAGAAACTAAGATAGGGGAGATATTCTTCTTAATATTAACAAATAAAGTAATAAAAAAACCAGAATATTAAATAGGACAAGATAATTGATTGGAACAAAGTAAAACAGTAAAAACAATATTTGCCTTTAAAGAGAAGATAGAAGAAAATCCCCCATATTTGCTATATTGCATACTGTCATCCTCCCAAGAGATGCTCAGACTGCTGGCCCCAGGTCAGCATAATCAACCCAAAAATCAAGCATTTAGTTGCTTTATGTGCCTTAGTTGCTATCAACTCCGGCTGTCCTTGACCCCCTCCAGTTGCTAAACAGGGGTGGTGGGTAGAATGGGATGTCTGACTCTCAGCCCGCGCTCCAGCAGGCTCACGGGAGACACCGACTTGTTCTCTTCCTGGCGCCCACTGCTTGCTCGCTCCGCCGCCGCTTACCAGGAGGGAGCACTTGTTGCTTTCTTGTTCAGCGCCCCCAAGTTCCAACACGGTAAAAACATATTTGAAAATCTGTCTTTCCCAGAGCTGTCTTCTTACATCTACCCGGATGATTACGCTCTGTTCTTCTGCAACTCCACTTGACCACTCATCATCTTGGGAGCTTGTTTCACTCTTCCTCTTTTTCCATAATCAACTTTCTCATTCTTCGTTTATTCCTTTAAATGTTCTGTTGCAGTACTAGGAATTGAACCCGGGGCCTCCCATATGCTATGTCCCTAAACCCTGTTTTACCTTCTCAGAGGAGTACCAGGAATCGAACTCAGCTACATCCTCTGCCCTTTTACTTTCTGAGACAGGGTCTCACTAAGTTGCTCACCCTGGCCTCAAACACACAATCCTGCAGTCCTTCCTGCCTCAGACTTCTGAGCACCTGAGATTACAAGGGTATGCTGTTGTACACACACACACACACACACACACACACACACACACACACACTTTTTTGGGGGGTACCAGTGATTGAACTCACACTTGCCAGGTAGGAACTTGTGCCACTGAGCTACATTCCCAGCCTAGCTGGGAATATTTAAGTAAATAAATAATATTTATTTACTTAAATTCTTCACTTTTGCAGAGTACAGTATATACCTTGGAGGATCGCAATGAAAGGACACATGGCATGAAATTTCCTGATACCATGCATGTCTGAAATGACTTAATTGTACTCAGGCTGCACAGAAAGTTGTAGGTTAAAAGACATTTTCCTTTCGAAGGTATTTACAGGGTGGCCGCTGAGTTTTCATACGTTTCCTGCTTCTCTGAATGTGACCTGTTTTTAATGGGTAGAGGCTTTCAGGGCAGAGGTCTTTGATCCTCACTGTGCACCATATTCCCCTGAATCCTAGAGTCTGCTGTAGCTGATCTGCTGTAGCAGAGAGGGCTATTGGTATTTTTCAGTGGTATTTTACGAGGTGATTTCACAATAAAGCATTCTGCTGGGTGTGGTGGCACACACCGTATCTCAGCATTCTGCAAGCCAAGGCAAGACAACTGCAAGTTCAAGCCCAACCTGGCAGCCTGATGAGACCTGGTCTTAAAATTTATTTATTTATTATTTAGTTAGTTAGTTTGGCACCAGGGATCAAACTCATGATCTTGTGCTTGCCAGTACAGCACTTACGCCACTGAGCTAAATCCCCGACCCTGGTCTTAAAATTTAAAAGAAAACAAACTTTTAAAGAATTGGCGATAAGCTCAGGGCCATGACCTTAGGTTCAATCCCCAATACTCCAAAAAACAAAAAAGCAGGCAAAAAAAATGAAATCCACTTAATTCTCTCTCTGGTCCAGCATAAATAATGCTGTACCTTGAGGGGTACAGAAGACTCTTCTGTGTAAGGATTTTAACTAATGAAGGGTTTGCATGCTTACATGATTGCTTCCTCTTGGTCCTCGGGCTCCCATCCTAGTTCTGCCAGCTGTGCTTGCTGCCCTCACCCTCCAGCAGACCCACAAGGTCATTACTGATTCGCACGCCACTTCTCTTTCACCCGCTAGTGTAAACAGGTTTCTGCATCTTATGCTAAGCTCATATTCTGTGGACAAAGACTATTTCTGCTTCCCAAAGATGCAAGACTGTGTGGATGGGAGCTTAGATTTATTTGGAAGAGCAGAGCCTCCCTTAGATACTTCCAAGGTAGGCAGTTTAAGGTCAGAGAAGTTACCAAAGCCATAGCCGGTGGAACTGGTGAGTTTCAGGGACCCAATTTAAACTCAGGACTTTTAGAAAGCAAGCTGATTGGCCTGCATGAAACATACAGAAGCAGAATATAGCCTTCAAGAAAGGTGCTAGAGACGTTCAAGTGAAATTGCTAGTTTACTCACACAGTCTAATTGATGAGCAGATAAATCGTATTTCTTCCAAATGTTTTCTAGGTTGCTGTTGGGTGCAGTTTTGAACCACAGAATTTAAAGATGGCGGGCAGCACAGCCGGGATGCTAGCTTGTCCTTCACAGAGTAGAAGCATAAGGCAAGATAAAGAGGGCAAGACAGACAGGAAGCCAGGGGAAAATCCACACAGGGAAGGGTAAGGAAACCAGAGAAAAAGGGGTCAAACTGGGGGATTTGGGAAGCTCTCACTTTCCTGCCATGATGATAGCTTAAACTCTGCCAGTTCAATCTCTGTGTCCTGTTAGTTTAAGTAATAAAATCAGAGTGGGAAACTCTGTGAATTTGTTTTCCTGGCAAACAATTTCAGAGTTCTACAAGGTAATCCCACCTCCATTTCTGAAAAACCGGAATAGAGTCCAAGTTTCTTTATGGCAAATGAAATTTAAGCAACCAGGACTGGCTTGGCTTTACTCCTTCCAGACCCATGGGGTTCTAAAAGCTAACACCAATGTTTCAGTCACAGAGATTAGGACAGAAAACAAATAATGGAAAACTGCCCCAAGACAGGCACTTATGGGTCGAAAATGTCACTTTAAGCTTCTAACGTACAGCCTTTGTGTGTGCACTGAGCTGCGCTCTCTCCAGCTCCAGTCTTCCTGCTCTAATAGTAACTGGGCTACATCCCCAGCCCTTTTTGAGACAGGGGATTGCTAAACTGCCCAGGCTGTACTTGAACTTGTGGTCCTCTTGCTTCCCAAGAAGCTGACTGCAGGCATGAGTGTCCTTGTCAGCTCCAGGCTGAATCTTATCCAGGGTGAAATTACCTAAGGACTTTTCATCTGTGCTCTTTAAGGATTTCACCAAATTGTCCTCAAACATTTTTTTTAAATGTTATTTTTTGCTGTGCTGGGAATTCAACCTATCGCATGCTAGCAAGGGTTCTACTACTGAGCTATAGCCCTAGCCCTTTTTCAAACATTTTCACTGTTACCCAGACTGAGATCCTCCAGCCTCAGCCTCCTGAGGAGTTGGTATTACAGGACTATGGCAGATGCATGGCTAATCTATTATTCTCTAGTTTTTATAGGCTATTTCTTACCAAAAGTTGTTTCTAACAACATAATCCAAATCTGAATTAAATTTCAGAAACTTTCCAGGGCTGGAGATGTGGCTCAGTGGTAAAGCACTTGCGTAGAATGCACAAGGCCCTAGGTTCCACCCTCAGTAACACACACACACACACACACACACACACACACACACACACAAAGTTCTGCAAGGGATTTGAGGGTCACTCACCATCTTCCACCTCAGTTTATCACCAATCAGCCAGAATTTGTCAAGTAGCTACTAAAAACTTAGCATCAGGAAGAATGCTTTGATGATGAATTATTAGTATCAAAGATTAAAAATTAGATTCAAAATCCTGGCAGTAAGAATGGAGCTATCTTTTCCTGTTACTAATGCTCGATTCCTGTGGTAGTGAAAAATCTAAGTCCCAATGAACCGTCTTTCATTAGTAATCTAATATAATGTTCATAATGTTAGAAGGCTATCAGTATGCTTTAAGGGTAATTATAAAAGTGGTTTATTTCCCCTTGTTTTATTAACACAGTCACTAGACCTCCAATTTCTGTTTAATTTTCCCTAATAGTTTAGCTATTTCCAAGAGAAACAATCATCTGAAGCCTGGCGTTGCAGATAAGAGAACATTATTACTTTGTATTGGCTTCTTTTTATCAGATGGGTTTAGTAGAAATTGAACATCAAACTGCCTACCTGATTCCCACTTCACATCCATTAATATGGCAAAAGCCTTTATTTTTGCATCTCATTCTTATCAAATAAGAAACTCAATTTCAGCAAGGAACAGCAGCAAGAATCCTAAAGAACAACAAAATTTCCCACCAAATTACACTAAACATAGTATTAGCACAGATACAGGTGAGTTTTACGCTTCCAAATTATTTTTATTCAGAACACGTGAACATTATAGAACCATTACTTCTGCACTTATAAAAACCAAAAACAAAAACCACAACTGTAGTCATGGCAAGAAAAGGAAAACAGTATGTTTATTGTGTGTAGTCCTAACAAACAATCACTGTACCAGCAAAGGAGACAAAGATCTCTGTTCAAAAATGCTGAAATAAAATAGGAAAACAAATGTCATTGATTACACAGACAGAATGTTAATATTAATTAAAGGAATGTTACATTCATTCAGTCGAGGGTGAAATAGAAAGTTAAATAAGTAAGATAATGTTTTGCCTAAATAGCAAATGTAGGAGATAGGCCTGGGCAAGGAGCAGCTACTAAACCCATCAGTAAGATGCTGGAGACAGGCTACTGGACTTGACAAATGTCCCTTTGCTTCTCTGGAACCTCCTTCCCTCCTTAGTCACCCCCACAAATCCCCAACTTGGCGTCTCCAGACCACAGCAGCCAAATGTGACTACACTCCCCATTACTTTTGTGGTATCTGGTAGCAGAATGTGATGGTTAATAAAATTGATTTCTTGTGGAGACAAGACAGTTCTGAATCTATTTCTCCTGGAGTAGAGGGTAAAAACCATTACTGTTAATAAAAAAAAAAAAAAAAATTACTGTTCTCTACCTCAACCTCCTGAAATGAAATTTAACCAGACAGGCATCACTTTGGGTTTTAAGCATAAGATGTCATAGTAATGACTACCTGGCCTGCTACTCCGCATCAGCACTCAAAGAGCATAAGCCCAGCAGTCTTGGTTCACATAAGCATTTATAGTAACTAGTAAAAAGAACGCATAAGCTCAAATGATTGGGTCCAATGAATTTTTGTTTCTAAGTGTCCAGATGAGATCTAAACACAATGTACATTTCGTTCTCATCACTTTCTTACTTTTACAAATGTAAAGCTGTCTCAAAATGAGAAACAATTTGTAAGAGTCAGGACCTGAGAAATTTTGGAAAGCGGGCACTAACACCCTGCATTTCGGTGACATAAAATTTCTCTCACCTCCTCTTCTGGGATCACAGCCACTGCACGGGCATATGGTGCACATCAGCAGCTGGCCTTCTTTAGAACAAAACAACCACCAAACACCCAGGAGACCAGGAGACACTGTCCACCAAGGGCTGGCTTTTCCTACTGATGGCAAGACTGTTGGAGAATTCATGTCTACTTCTTAAACAAAAATCTTTTCTGCTGGATTTGGCTAGTTTGCTATATGTATATATTGTAGCGTGCTTGCTATCTATTGTGTACTTCATTGAGACCAGCCTACAAACTCACTGGAGAAACTTCACCTTGCTATTTATGTATGCAGAATTATAGTAAATGGACCTAAAAGGTTTTCTTTGTATTTGTTTTGATACCAGGTATCAAACTCACAACCTTGCACTTGCCAGCCAGGCTGAGCTAAATCCCCAGCCCCCCAGAAGTGTTTTTTATAATACAGAGTGACACTGCACTAGCAGTAGTCAAAAGGGGCCCTGTGTACTGGATGGATTCCATGGACATCAGAAACAAAGTCTGAAAAGCTTTTCCTTCTGGCTCTCAGCAAAAAACAAGTCCAAATATAAAGAGGAAAAAAAATATGAAACAGAAAAACAATACTTTTTGAATTGTTTACCCCATGAAATATGAAATATCATAAACAGTAACTTTACTTCAGACTATAGTTCTTTAACATTTTTGACAAGCCATATGTTTTTCATTCAGTTTCAGAGACTGCCAACACACTTAACAACGGATCCAAGCCATCTTCTGGCTGTTAGCTTAGCTTGATGTAGCCTTTCTTGCTCCTCAATCCTCCTTTGTTCTTCCCTCTACTCTGACTTACTACTCCATATGATCACACAACCTACATAGTCCAGCAATTACATCCCAACCCTTATTTCAGGAAACTCCTTCTTGTTTAACTGGAGGTGCATCAAGTTATATCACTTGTTATATAATAGCCGAAAAATTTTTTCTATTATTATTTTCTCAAAATGGCATCTTCTAATTTAAAAAAAAATCTAAAGATATTAGTTTAATTAAACCACAATTGGTATCTAAAAATCAGCCAGAAGGTATTCTAAAGTATCGTATCCAAGTATATATATATAAAAAAAAAAGCTTAATATTACCTTGATGAATTCAGAATTCATTCAATTGTAAATCACAAGACCTGGTTTGAACTTTTTCTGAAGTTTGCATGGGCAGACTCTGGCTCACTGTACAGTTTCCTGTCTTGTCAGGTCCCTGGCGAGCTTGATCCCGGGCAGTGTCTGTGGTACTTTAACCCAATTGTGCCCTGCTGGATATGACCACAGCCCAGAATCAGGCAGGCAGCCCTCAGAGAACAGGGAGAAAAAAATCAAAGCTACTGGCAGAAAACAGCCTTCAGATTCTACCCAGGTGCTTCCCTGAGGGAAAAAATAAAGTCAAAGATGCCAAAGAAATCCTGGCAACATAATTCTAAATACCTTACTTTTCACTGAGACAAACATACAAGTCCAAAAAAAAAAAAAAAACCTACCAGATTTTTTTTTTATTGTTTATTTTGAGCAAAACAAAACCACAATTTGGAGCCATGGAAGTAAAAACACAGATGAAGTGGAAAACAGTGTCTTGTCATGATCTTTCATTTTCAAATGACATTTTATATGGAAGTTATTTCACTGAGTCTCTTGCTTTTGTAAAATGGGGAATCAAAAATTTGCTAATCAATATACGAAAAGCAGTAAGAATCCTTGGGAAAGTTCTACAGACATAATTACACATTTATATTTTTACTAATAAAAGAGGGACAACAAGAGATGATTACAAGCTAGAACTAAACAAAAGAAAAACGTTTTGGTGCCTTCTCTAAACTCTTGCCCTAAAAGTAGTGTTTTAAAAATATTTTTCAAAGAAAAAGATGACTCTTTAATTTTCCAGGGTTCAGTTACCCCACCCAGTCCATTTCATTCTGCTGTTGGCGTTCCCAGCCCCAAGAGAGCAAAGGAAAGCGCGGTTTTGTCCAGCACCCCTTGGGGAAAAAAGGGGTTGGACTGAGGGGGCGGAGGCGCTGCCAGCTGCGCTAGCCACAGAGCTCGATCTGGTTTTAACCAACATAAATAGGGAACAAGGTCACCGGCAGTCACATGGTAAGTAATAGATACGCACTTTTACTTTACAACTGAAATTCTGTATGGTAAATAATACAATCAAATCAGAATTTTAAAAAGATTTTTAAAAAATAGACAAAAATTTCAAGACAGGAGTGCTAGCCTGATAAAAATCTCTAACGGGCATTAAAAGTACAGAAAGCAGGTATTTTCCCCAGAGCGACATCACCACAGCACGTGAACTGCAATCAGTAACACACAGGAAGTGTAGGGTACCTGTGGAAACCAGTGACAAGGAGCAGCACTGGCCAGGACCCAGCAGTGAGCAGGCGCTCCGGGAGTGAGGCTCTGGAGAGGAAGGACACTGGTCCCAGACCGGAGGAGGATGTCTGGTCAAACGGCTCGGCTCTAAGGGGGGAAGAATATCATTGGCAGGATTCCAGGGCAACTGCTGCGGTCCCCAAAGCAAGTCTCTCATTTTCACTCGCAGGTGGATGTGTTTCCTAGGCCTCATCAAGGCCTCCTCAGGAGGATTTACTTTCCGCCATGTAGTAACGATACAGCAAACCTAGGAGCACAGCGCCTACGATGGGGAAAATCCAATACGACCAGCAGCTGGAAATGGGAAAACACAAGGAAGTGAATATTCTATAGCAAACATACACTGTCTTTCAGAACTGACACTGTAATACTTATATGGGCATGCAGTTTTGATTTTATTTTGGGAAATGTTAATTGCTTTTATCACACGATAGTTGTGATAAAATGCCAAACTATTTTTTTGCTGTTGTTTTGAATCAGGGTCTTGCTCGGTAGTCCAGACTGGTTTTGAACTCATGGCAATCCTCCAGCAGCCACCTCCAAAGAGCTGGGATTACAGGCATGTGCCACCAAGCCTAGCATACCCAAACTATTCTGGAATACCAATATTAAAAAGTAACTTTTAAAAAAGGATAAAAAATCCAAAGAGATACACACACACACCTCTATAGGTGTTTCTACAAAGACATATAATGGTTGTAATCTGGGTTATCAGATTATGGATAGTTTAAAATATTCTTCTTTATGGCCTGCTGTGGAGGCCCGCCTATAATCTGAGCACTCAGGAGAATGAGTCAGGAGGATTGCCATAAAATTCAAGGCCAGCCTGAGCTCCATAGTGAGTTCAAGGCCAGCTTGAACTACAAAGACTCTGGTTTAAAAAGCCCCTCCCTCAAAATTTTTATTTTTTCTTCTTTGTCTTTTGTTTTTCACATATTGAACTGGGGATATAATTCAGTGGTAGAGCACTTATCTAACTTGGGCAAAGCCCTGGTTTCAATATACAGTATCACACACACACATACATAAAGATATTTTTCATATATAATTAATTCCCCCTGCCCCATGTGAGGGATTGAACCCAGGGCCTCATGCATGCTACATGAGTACTCTAATGAGCTGCACTTCCAACCCAAATGAATAGTTGTAAGTAGCAAAAACAAAATCCATTATATATGTATATACGTATGGGTATTTTCATAACTATTCCATTGGAAATTTGGAAACAGTATCTAATCCAACTACCAGCAATATTAAGTCTGTTTCACATGCATGTAAAGTTGAATCCTTATCACAACCCTATTAAATTACTATCCTCTTCGCAGACATAGGAAACACAATCTTTCCACTCCAAATCACAAGCTGGTCAGGCAGTCTGATTGCAAACCACCCTCTTGATCTCTAATTGAGTTTGGACACTAAAAAGGATACATACACAAAGAACGTTAACAATAGTATGAGAAAGAGTTAAACAAATGGTTGTTGCCTTAGGAAGTACCACAGACAACCTTGCTTGAGAGTTTCAGAGCAGCAACCCTTTTCCCTAAAACAATTCCTCTGTAGTGAGTGGAGAATGTTGGCATTGCTAGCTTTAAGGTGTGAAGCCATAATCCAAATGACCTGGCCACCCCTCTATTTAAGACATGTCCAGTCTTGGTTTTAAAAGGTGTTCAAAGCTAAAACCTCCAGCTGAGGTTCGTAACAAACACTTCTCTTTGTCTAAACATGCCTAGCATCCTGTACACTGAAGTAAGGCAGAAAGCTTCTCTTAACAAGTTTAGTAGTGAGCCAGGCAACCTCTGTTAAAAAAATTAATCAAGGAGCTGGGGATTTAGCTCAGCGGCATAAGCGCCTGCCTTGCAAGTATTTGGTTGTGAGTTCAATCCCCGGTACCGATAAAAAAGAAAAAGACAAAAAAACAATTTGGAAAAAAAAATTAATCAAGATGGCATGTGTAACGGCACCCCAACACATGGGAACATTCACGTACTCTCCCCAGAAGAGAAATGAATTCAGACCGTTTGAAGAGCAACAACAAAAGACTAGAGCCCCAGCACACGATCTCCGAGAAAACATGCAGTCCTCAGTGCAGAAAACAATGGTCAGCCATAAATCTTCAGAATAATCTTTCCTATTCCTTAGCTGCCACCGAGGAGAGGAGAAAACACATCTACACTGCACTAAGGGTGATGCAAACTCAACAATAACCTCCTACTGTCAGACAAGACAGAATTTTCTTCTTGGCAATTTACCCAGGTTACTGCGTGGAGTCACTGCACTTAGTTATGATCCATTTATTTTTGCTGCATGAATATACCATAATTTATTCATTCACTTTATTAATGGATGAATATTTGGATAGTTCCCAGTCTTGAATGATGTTGCTATGAATAGTCTTATAAATATTCCCTAATACAGTTGGGCACACAGCCCCTTCCAACTTTTTTTCTTTTCTTTCTTTCTTTCTTTCTTTCTTTTCTTTTTCTTTTTTTTTTTTTTGGAGAAACGATCTTGCTATCTATTCTAGGCTGATCTTAAATGAACTGAGTAGCCCAGGCTGGCTTGGAATTTGTTGCGACCCTCTTGCCTCAGCCTCCTGGGTGCTAGGCATACAGGCATGAACTACCACATCTATTTCTGGTGATACTAGGGGTGCATTCGTTATACCCGAGGCCACTCCTCCCCTTATTTTTATATTTTTGAGATAGGGGTCTCAGTCAATAAATTGCTCAGGCTGGGTTTGAATTTGTGATACTCCTGATTCAGCCTGTCAGACTGCTGGCATTATACAGATGTATACGTGTGCACCATCATTATGCCTGACTAATCTAATCTTTGCCCATTTAAAAAATTTCTTTTTTTTTTTTAAATTTTTGTTTCTTTGGTTTGGTTTGGTTTTCTTGAGAAAGGGCCTTGCTGCATAGTTCAGTCTGATCTTGAATTCATTCTGTAGTCTGGACAGGCCTGGGCCTTGTGGCAATCCTGTCTCAGGCTCCTGAGTGCTGGGATTACAGGTATGCATCACTGTATAGGGCTAAATATTCTTTTCTTTCTTTTTTGAAACAGGATCTTGCTATGTAGTTTATACTGGCCTTGAACCCATTATGTGGCCCAGGCTGGCCTTCCGTTCATGGCAATCCTCCTGCCTCAGCCTCCCGAATGGTGAGAACATAGGCATGCACCACCATGCTTGGCCTAAATTTCCTTTGAGACTATAGCTCAGCAGGTGTTTTAGCTATATTTTTTCCAGAAAAGTATTGTTAGAAAAACATTATTTAATAATTATTATTTTGTCCTAATCCAATTAAAGGCTTCCTTTCCTTGTGATTTTTTTCTTAGTCTCCTAAGCCAGGTATAGTGGCACATGCCTGTAACTCCAGCACTCAGGAAACTAAGACAGTGGATGGTAGCAAGTTTGAGACCTGTCTGGGCTATAAAGTGAGCTCAAGGTCAGCCTGAATTGCATAGTGAGACCTTGTCTCAAAAAGGAAAAAAAAAAAAAATGACACAATGGATAATTCTACATAATCTCCATGAAGATTTTTTTCCCAAGGCAAAGATTCCATAGTTATCTGAAGAAGAAACTTTTATGGGGGGTAATTTATACTTTTCAAGCCTACTACTATTATATTACTTATATTACTACAAGATATATATATATATTTGTCTTTTTCGTTTTTTTTTTATCAGTACCAAGGATCGAACTCATGACCGCACACTTGCAAGGCAGGTGCTTATGCCACTGAGCTAAATCCCCAGCCCCAAGAGATATAATAAATCTTTGAGAAAACCCAAATTCCTAAAAATGACTAGTAACTTTTTATTCAGTAGGATATAGTAACAGCACCTGCTTTACACAGTGACTGTGCAGATTATGTGAGATTAAGTTCAAACTGAAAGTCACATGGCTGGGCTGAGCTACAGACAACCAGGCCTGGAGTTAATAGCAGTTACTTTTCAATGCATACTGGCCTCTTACCGATTTACAATAAGGTTTAAAAATTACTTATGGCATAAACCTTTTAGTCAAGGTGTTTGAAATTGTAAAAATTAATTTTGCTAATGTCAAAGAACTATTGAATTTGCAACTATATGAGCCAAAAGAAGAATAAGCTATCAAACTGTACTGTTATACATGTATATTTATAGAAGAACTTTTTGCCAGACATTACATACAGCATAAGAACTCGTAAGAGCAAGAGATACTGACCTTTTGCATGAATTATTTTTCGAAGGACCCTAAAGAAGACACAAGTCCAAAAATGAAAAGAAAAAAGATTAACACAACACATACAAGTTTTTCTTTTTGTATCTAGCAACAAAACTTCAAGCATTTTGATATTTATAAATCTATAAGCAATGGGTAGACCAAGAATCTTATTTCTGGTAATACGTTGGTACTCGCTAGTGAAGAATCACTAGTGAAAGTACAGAAATTACCTAACGATTTTTAAATGAAAAAAATGCTAATGATACAAATTACATTGAAATGGACTGAACTTTTAGTCACAATGATAGACCTGCTTCTTCTGGGTTTGCCACTGGAAGTACCTAAGATCCCATTTTCTGAAAATATTTTTAAAGCCCCAAAACAATTCTGTTACAATATATATGTCAACTGTGAAATGCTCAAGACTATGACTGTTTTGTAGCTCATAGAGATGAACCAGCTTATTCTTTGAAATCTTAATAACATGACTGAAAATTTTATAGTTTATTACAAAGTGAAAAGGGAAAGAACAGTTACAGGAAATAAAATGTCAAAATAATCTTTAAAAACAAATTTTGGCAATAAAAAACAATATAAGTATTGATATATGTGACAACGTGGATGAACCTTCAAAATATGCTAAATGAAAGAAGCCAGACACTGAAGACCACATACTGTGCAGAACCAATTATAGGAAACACCTGGATAGGACAACCAGAGGCAGAAAAGCAGAGGTACTGTTACCTCGTGCTGGGGAGGCGGCGGCGGAGGAGGAGAGGATGAAAAGTAACACTAATGAAGTATGGAATTTCTTTTTGGAATGATAAAATTGTTCTAAAATTGACTGAAGTTTTGTGAATACACTAAAAATCACTGATGTGAACATTTTAAATAGGTAAATTGCATCTTATGTGAATATATCTCAAAAAAATCTTAGCTATTAACTATTCATAAATCTTTTTTACTCAATTTAAGTGTATATTAAATGAAAATACTATAGACATTAATTAGCTATACAGAATAAAAGGCCTGCCAAATTACTGCCAGAGGACAATAACCCATTAGCATTGAGTGCTGCTGCCCAAAATATCATCGTGGCCCATATGCAAAGAAGTATGCAGGGTATGAAGATAGAGTATTATCTCTGTTTACCAACAATTTTCAATAATTCCCATTAATTTCTAGGAATCATACATACTGGCCCGGAAATACTTTAGAGCAGCCCATGAAATGAGTTTTAATTTCCTATGTCAAAAATACTGCCATGCAAATGAATATTTGCCCCAAACCTGAAAGAAATTAGTCTAAGGTAAGCAAAACTTCCAATGAAAAGTTTTAGAAGAAACTACACTAATATACTACCATACTTCTTTGAGATCTTGATGGCTAGGGTTATCTGGGACACTTCTGCTAGCACAGCATGAATTTGGCTAATTAAATACATGCTGCAAATCAACCTTCTTTGAGAAAACAAAAATTACTATCTTAAGGATTTGAGAGGCAGTAGAGGTAGTGATGGCGTTGTATACATTACATTAATTTATAATGTTGCCCTTTTAACGAGCCACTATACTAGCCAAGAAATAACTGAATTCCATCAAGAAAATGTCCATGGTCTTCTGCTTTTTCCATATACACACCAAAGATTTACAGAACAAAAATAAAGTTACTACCAAAAATTTTTAAGCCTTAGAATATAAAAAATGTTGATACAAGAGCATCGCAGAGTATCATATGCATTATGATGTGTAATCTATAATTATATTACAAGTCAAAGTTAATATAAATGGATTCTTTACATTTCAAAGCTTTTCCTCTTCTTTACAACCCAAAGACCAAGATACGAGCTAGAGTAAGCCTTGACAATATCATAAAAACGAAGAGTAAACTAAGACTACAATATTCTGAAATTATAATTTCTTATAAACAATGAATAACTGAAAATTTGTAGTTCTGTTTTTTTTTGTTTTTGTTTTTGTTTTTTTAAACTAAGTACACTAAAGTGTTCCTGTTTTGAAATCAATTTATCCCTGGAGGCAAAAAAGACCCACTTGCCTAACAGTGGAACATGTACTCCCTTTTGGACACGGATAGCCACAGAAATGCCAAATTAGAGCAGCCCCACTTTTAGCCAACAATGGTATTAAAAAGACATGTAAAAATCAATAAACAGTAAAAGAGACGTTGAAGACACAGTGCTTAGCAGCCAAGGCCTTTAGCCAAGTTTGGAAGGAAGTCAAATGAGGTTTTGTTTATGTTTTATGTTATTTTGTTTCTTGATGGTTGGTCTTGTTTTGCTGTGTGTGGTGCTGGGGATCAAACCCAGGGCCTTGTGCACAGAGAGCAAGAGCTCTACCACTGAGCCACAACCTCAGCCACTGTTCACTTATTTTTAATTTTATAAAACTGAAAAGTAAAGTTCTAACATAGAATCTTTCTTCACCTCCACTCTTCCTCTAGTCACTCCTCGATCCTCTTTTCCAAGCCAAAGCACTGTGCGGAATTTCAAGGATGCTTAAGTGGAATTCTTCCAGTTTGTAGCTGACTTCAGCTTATCCTGAAGTGTTCAGGCCACCCGGCTGGTTATGTTCATGTCAGATTTTAATGCTCTCCACTTTTCACATGGTAAGTAGGTTACAACACTGATTTTCAGTTATAAGAGAACAGGTGAAACCCAAACTTCTCTTAGCGTCGGCTCTACCAGGTAATTAATACGTAACCTTTTTTATTATTCCATAACGAGTTTGGAATATACCTACAAATAACAAAATTCCTTTGTCTACTATGATTTTAGCTCAAAACTAAAGAAATCAGCTGTTTAAACGAAATTCATTCCTAAAATTCAAGGTTAAGGTTATAATTCCCTCAAAAAAAAAAAAAAATATATATATGGGCTTTATAGGGTAAAAGAAAATATTACCTGAGAAATTTAAGTAATTCATAACTAAAATTATGTCTAATATTGTTCAGCTTAATGCTAAAACAGCTCCCTCATTTGTAAAATGAAAGGCTCAGATCAGATGGACTTCATGCTATTTTGGGATCGAACTCACGACTGTGCGCTTGCAAGACAGGCACTTATGCCGCTAAGCTAAATCCCCAGCCCTGGATTTCATTCCAAGCTGAAGGTATTTTGTTGCCTCAAAACCTGTAAGAGCAGCATCGTTCAAAAGAGTCGGGGAAAAGAAACATTACTCTCTTGTGTCTAGGGAAACTGAAGGAGCACTATCACATGTAGATTTTTCTCTTTCCCACAAGTTTTATAAAGGAGTTATTTTCCCAGATAATTCTTCCTAAAGGCAGTACACCATGAAGTACTGACCCAATCTGATAGGATAAAGAGAATGACAAATGTCCTATCTGGCAGTCCCGTGGGAAGGAATTTTGGGGTCAGGAGAGAAGGATTTCACTATGAATTCTGTTCATGAGAAAACATGAGAGAAGTGCACACATACACTTAAGGAATGTGGTGTATGAATACTCTGTCATCAGGATACAAACAAGAAAGAATGATGTAGAATTATGATCATGATAGATAAAAACATGCAGACAGGGCATTATAGTTTATGTTCAGCTTATAATAGTTTATATTGAGGCTTTCAAAAGCTTTAAAAGGTATATAAAATGTACAGTGATCTTATGGTTAAATTCCTAAATTAAATTAAATGTTTGGTATTCCAGGAGGATTCCAAGTATTTAAAGTCAGAGGAAGTTTAAGCCACAAGACACCTTCAGCAAATTTACCTGGGTGGTCTGGTGGCAGTTCTTCAGTTTTTATTTATAACACTTGGTATCACTGTCATAACTCAAAAAAAAAAAAAACAACTTGAGAACTTTTGGGCTCAAACACCACTGGTGACCAATTTTTCACCCATAATATCCTGAACCTTATACATGAATTACTGCTATATGAATGTTAATATTTGGTGTATATCTAATAAGTTGGAGGAGTAAAGTACATGACTTCAACATTTTACAGTCCCAACCCTTGTCTGTGGTATAGGTCCCTGGGATACTAATGCAATAAAATATAGTGTACTAAAATATAAAATTTGCTGCAAGCCATTTATTTCTAGATGAAAATACAGGTCACAAGGTACACTTAGTGTTAGCCTGTTTCCCCATTGATAAGATAAAATTCACATATAAAAAACACTCCCAAAGTGTAGTGGGATGTGGTGGTACACGCCTGTAATCCGAGCACTCGGGTGGCTAAGATAGGAAGATTGCTGCGCATTTGAGACCACTGGGGCTACATAGTGAGTTTGAGGCCAGCCTGAAATACATATTAAGAACCTGTTTGAAAAACAGCCCCCAAAAGAAATTTCCCCGACTCATGGGATAAGATACATCTCTAAAGAAAGTAACTAAGATACAGAATGACTTAAGTAAAAGAAGTTATTTTGATACTGGAGAACTGACTTGAAATGGATGCTACCTTGCCCTTATGGTTCCATTTGCAAAACTTCCTATCATTTCAGAAGATGTTAATTCTTGACATCATTCAAGAAAGGATATTTTGTTCTTCAATGATTTTACTGTGACATTCTACTTCTCAAAAGATCATGTTACAAAACACAAATGTCAAACAAAAACAAGGAAAAATGAAACAACTAGACAAAATTCTTTGATGAAAAGCAATTGATATCTGTCTAAAGGGCAAGTACATCCTTTAATAAATTAGGTAGCAGGTACAACATGAATATAAAGAACTTTTAAAAGTAAAATTTCTAGTTGCACGTAACCACTATGGTTTGAATAATGGTTTTACTGTTTCCCTTGAGAATTCATGTGTTCTTATCTTCAGAGCTATTTCACTGTTTCAACCACATCACACATTAATTTTGGGGGTTTTGAGTTTTGTGTTTTTTGGGTTTTTTTTTTTTTTTTGTCTTTTTGAGACAGGGTCTTACTATGAGGTTCAGGCTGGCCTTGGGCTCATTTCATAGCCCAGTCTGGTCTTGAACTTTCGATGATCAGCCTGCCTCATCCTCCAAAGTGCTGGGATTACAGATCCTCCAAAGTGCTGGGATTACAGAAGTACACCACCACTCCCGGCTAAAGAACCATTCTAATCCCCATTCATAAACAAATCAATAGTTCAGAGTAGTAGACTCTAACAAGATGCAAGGGTTAATTTATACAAACAACCTGGATTGCATGGTGACAGATGGCAGACACTGACAAGCAAGCACTCCCTTAAATCAAAAGAATCCTTGTGTTGGGCTAACCTGAAATGCTGTGTCAAGTCTACTCAATAATTCTGGCTCAGTAAGGAATGGGGTTGTATGGGCATGAGGAAGAGGGGTTGTATGGTGTCTGTTCTATTCTAGGAAGCACCTAGATTGTTGTTTTTTAAAACCAGTAATGGCTATTTGAAATTGCAAAAGAATAAGTAAAATGGAGCCATTTAGCTTGTGGGAAGCAGCAAAGGCTTTCATATTTTCCTGGTACATAGTGCAGATATATTAAGGTTTTCAAATAATCCAATGCTTTTGTTTTTGTTGTATCAATGAATTACTGGGAAGGGTGTGGGCCTTTTTGAGCTTACAGAGTAAAATAAGTTTGGGAAATAGGGACAGAAAGGTCTGTTATAATTTAAAAAGAGAGCATATAAGAAAGAATTAACTTTCCACATCTTTTCCATATAGAAACAATGATTATCAACTACTCCATATAATGTAAGAGTAAGATACTGCTCTGTAACTGAACCAATAATCTAATTTCTTTCAAAACCATACAGAGAATATAGCTTTATACTTTCAATTAGAAAAAACAAAACACATAGAAGCATTAACAAAATGTTTCCTACTGTTCAAGATTCAGCTATTCTCTTTCCTGAGAGGTACTGAGTCCAAATTCTTGAAAAACAGGATTTTTTGCTTGGGGAAAAGGTAAACACTTTAAAACTTTTTAACTTCTCTTGCTAAGATAATTATTTAACAAAACAATTCTACTTGAGTAAACAGAAATATAACACTAAAACACACAAGAAAAACTGATGACTTCTTACCTTGCTACCACTTTGAGGTTTAAGGTCACTCTGTTAAAAGAGAAAAACAATATTGTAAGATATATCCAAATGAACTTTAACTATGTGCTGATTTCTAATGTTGGAACATGAGACTATAACCTGGTAGTAGTGCATTCTTGGGAAACTTCAGGGTCTGAAGATAAGAACTGACCTGTTCTCAGCATATCAGGGTCTCCCCTTAAAACAGTATGTACAGAGGAATGAAAAGGCCATAGTTACCACTGTTGGCGTGAGACTTCCAAGAACTAGCAAATCACTACTTTAGGTAAAGATGTTACTAGATGCCATAGAAGGATCAATCAATCAAATTAATTAATTAAAAAATCAATCCCCTTAGCTTTTCAGATATGTGTTGTAGCCGGGAATTTAGCGCAGTGGCATAAGCGCCTGCCTTGCAAGCATGTGGTCGGGAGTTCAGGGGGGGGGGGCAATCTCAGATATGTGTTGTACTATAAGGCTAGATAATTCCTAGAGAAAATTCAGCCTGATAACTAGGTTGAGTGGATTTCTATTTTAATCATTCTCTTCTTCCAGTGTGTGGCTATTCAGTTTTCTCTACATAAGTGCTCCTTACTTTCTGATAGTTCTTACCGGATGGAGATCACCAATGTAGTACTGCTTCAGCATCTCTCTGGCATCAGAGGAATGGCCTACATCTTCAAAGCTTTCACTTGCATCTATACCTGCTTGTTCCAGCAGAACTTCTTCTCCACCGGGATGCTATAAAGAAAAGTATTTAATGAACCAGACTTTCTCTGTTTTTTTGGCACCGGGAATGGAACTCAGGACCTTGCACTTGCCAGGCAGGCCACTGAGCTGTATCCCCAACTAAACCAGGGGTTCTCGAAAAACAAAAGAATGTGCTTTTTTTTCCTGTCCCCTCCTCTCCTTTTAAAGAGATAACAGAAATTGACACTATATGTCACCTGTAAGGGTGCAATGTAAAAAACACAGCAAAATTTCTATACTACTCTAGCTAAGTCAGGCATGTTGATGCACATCTGTGATCAGCAGTCTGGTGGGCTGAGGCAGGAAGAATGCAAGTTTGAGTCTAGTTTAGACAACTAGTGACCTAACAAGACCCTGCCTTGAAATAAAAATAAATAAATAAAAAAGGGTTGGGGTATAGCTCTATGCAAAGGTCCTGGGTTCAATCTGCAATATCACACACACACATATACACAAAAAGTTAAACACAGTGCTACTCTATGATCCAGCAAGTCTACTCCTGGGTGTACACAGTTGAGAGAAATTAAAACACCATATCCACATAAAAACTTACATTTGGGGCTGGCGATATAGCTCAGTGGCACAGCACCAGCCTGGCAAGTGCAAGATCATGAGTTCGATTCCCAGGACCCGCCTAAACAAACTACTAAACAAACTTGTATATGAATGTTCATAACAGCATTATTCATAACATCCCCAAATTGGAAACAACCTAAATGTCTATCAACTAGAAGATAAATATAGTATATCCTTACAAAGGAACTTTTTGGCAATAAAAACAATGAAGAAGTAACACATCCTACAACAAAGAGGATGCCTGAAAACACTGAATGAAAGAAGTCAGACATACAAGGTCACACAAGGTTACTGAAGAGAATGGAGAGTGATGGCTACTGGCTACAATGTTCCTATTTGGTGTGATTAAAAAGTAGTTCTGGACATTGGGTGTGGCTAAGCGGACCTATAATCCTGGATACTCAGAAGGCTAAGGGAGGAGGATTACAAATTTCAGGCCAGCCAGGGCAATTTACCAAGACCTTGTCATCAAATAAATAAATAGTGAGACACGGTTTCAAAAAACAAATAAAAATAAAACAATCAATCAGCAAAAGAGTAAGTGGTGATGGCTGCATCACCTGCTGAATATTCTGAACAGACTTGAAGCCTGAGCATGGTAGCACACTGTGGGAAACCCTGCAATTGGCCATCATCTTATGTTAATAAGATGACAGGCATCTTAACGTTGAAATTAAGTTTCTATCATTCCTCACTTAGCCTGTAACATTTCCCTGTGGTTCAGCTCCTACAGTGATGATGCTAATTAGCCTGCTTTATGGGCCCTTGCAGGAAATTTACCCTACAGCCCCCTCCCCCTCGTTAGAACTTCCTGCTGTAGCTAAGTTACCTACTGACGTGTCAAAACCCAGCCCCTTCCCCAATACCCTATATACTTGTTACTCTTTCTTTGAATAAAAGAGACTTGATCATAATCCTGTCTTGTCTCCATTCTTCGCATTTCTTATCTCTTTTCATCCCCACTCCCCCTCTAGGGTCTCGGTGGACTTAGCTGCAGGCCGGGACATCTATAATCCCAGTACTGGAGAGGCCAAGGCAGGCCTGTCATGAGTCTGATGGCTACACAGTGAGTTCAAGGGCAGGTTGAACTACATAGTGAGACCTTGTTGTTTTTGTTTTGTTTTTTTTTTAAGGTACCAAGGACTGGGGATTTACCTCAGCAGCATAATTGCTTGCTTGGCAAGCACGAGGTTGTCAGTTTGATCCACAGTACCAAAAAGGTACCTGCAGGGCTGGGGATTTAGCTCAATGGCATAAGTGCCTGCTTGGCAAACACGAGGTCATGAGTTTGATTCCTGGTATCAAAAAAAGAAATAAATAAATAAAATAAAAAAGTAAAAAAAGGTACCTCGTACACCTTAAATTATTTAAAAGGAAGCTGTTAACAATCCAACAGCACAAATGTATCTATCTACTTTTCCAACATTATTTTTTCAAGCTAGAAAGTTCTTTATGAAAGAAAACTCTCCGCATTAAAGTTTTACCTTCTCCACTGACCAATTATTTCAAGAACCTCAACTACCTCAAAACCTTGAAAATCAACATTTAGTAATAATAGTGGATTCTTTCCAGTTGGACAACACTGCACCCATTCATCACACTACAATCCTGGGAACATCAGGAAATGCCTCCCTTTCCCATGTAACACTATTAGCCAACAACAGGTTCTGACAGCCTAAACTTCTTAGCAGCTTAAAGCTTATAATAGTAAGGGTACTACAACTATGAAACATACACTCATCAAATTAAGAAAAGATATTTAACTCAAATGCGAAACCCAAAATTAGTTAAAGACCATAAATGCACTTAATAATCCAGACAAAATTTCTAGCTACTCAATCACTGAAAAGGCAACAAGCCAGGAAAGGTAGTGTGAAATAAGCAACAACTCTCTGGAGGCCAGAAATAACTGATAAACTACAGACATTTGGTCTTGACTTATTTTACATACAATTAAAACTTACCAAAGACATATAATTAAACTACCCAAACCAAAGTCCTGCCAAATATATTAGAAAAGAAAGTTAATAAAGCATAAAAGAGTATAGAGGGCTGGCGGTATAGCTCAGTGGCACAGTATTACCTAGTATGTATGAGGCTCTGGGTGCTGGGGATGGGGGTGGAGGGAATGAATGAGCTATGATAAATTCAGAACAACCAGTGTTCTTAGTAACAGTCCTAAATCAAGAAAACATTAAAAGAAAAAAAGAGAAGACATTTACCTGTAGTATTGTCTATGCAATATGGAGGCTTTCTTTCCCATTTTTAAAATTGTAGTAAAATAACAAAATTTACCATTTGCTACAGTTTGAATGTGTCCCCTCTGAAATTCAGATATTAAAATGTAATGGCTAGCATCTGGTATTAAGAGACTAAGATTAGCCAGGTGTGGTGGCTCACGCCTGTAATCCCAGCACTAAGGCCGAGGAAGGAGGATCGTTCTGAGTTCGAGACCAGCCTAGGCTACAAAGTGAGCTCAAGGCCAGCCTGAACTGCACAGCAAGACCCTGTCTCAAAAAAAAAAAAAAAAAAAAAAAAGATTAGGTCATGACTATTCTTCCTCCCAGGAATGAAAAGGCTTTTATAAAAGGGCTTCATGCAGCAGCCCATTTACTTGCCTTTGCAGTTTCCATGTGAAGACAGTTTTTGTCCCCTCCAGAGGATGCAGGAACATGGGTCATCTTGGAAGCAGAAAGCAAGCCTAACCCAAATCTACTGGCACCCCGAGCCCAGACTTTTCAGCTTCCAACTTCAGCAGTTGTTTCCTAGATATAACTGTTTTCTATGTTTCATTTGTGTCTTCATTTATTTCCTGCCATTTCCATCCTCTTCTGTGTTTCTGTTTGGTTGGTTAGTTCTCTGAGTTACAGTCTCACTATACTGCCTAAGCTGGTCTTGAATTCAGGATCCTCCGGCTACTGCCTCCCACATAACGAAGACAACAGGTAACACCGCACCAAGCTAGCTAATGTTTTTACATTGAAACATTTAAAGTCCCATCGCATTTCTTTGTCCTTGACTCAAGCTCTTCTTAGGACTTTTTACTCTGTGATATTGAGAAAGAGATACACATACAGTAAAATCCATACTTGAAATTTTGATCACCTGTAACATGTTCTCATAAAATGCTGGGTGCTAACAGAGAGTTGCAGGATTTAAACAGCCACAAAATTACTAGGGCCAACAAATGAAACTATGAAAGTGCTGTCAATAAATTGTATGACGTTTTAATATTTTATTACAAAATAGGCTTTGTTTTAGATGATTTTGCCCAACAGTAGACTAATATTAAATGTCCTGAGCATGTTTAAGGTAGGCCAACTAGCTGGGCTGGTGGCTCACGCCTGTAATCCCAACACTCAGGAGCCCAGAGCCCAGAGACAGCAGGATGGTTGCAAGTTTGAGACCAGCCTAGGCTACGAAGTGAGCCAAAAGCCAGTCTGAACTGCACAGCAAATCCCTGTTGCAAAAAGACAAAAATAAATAAGTAAATAAATAAAGTAGGCCAATTTTGTCTATGATGTAATTTAAGCGTACTAAATTCATTTTTGTGTGGGGGTTTACCAGGAATGGAATCTAAAACCTCACAATTGCCAGGCACACGCTGAGCCACTGAACTACATCCCTAGGCCTAAATTCATTTTCAACCTAACACTATTTCCCACATCACTTTATTTATTTTATTTTTTTTTTTTTGATGGTGCTAGGGATTGAATCAAGAGCCTCCACACACTAGACCAGTGCTCTATCATTGAACTACACTACAACACCTACCCTTAACAATATTTTCAATCTAATTTAATGTTACTGAAATGTAACCCACTACAAGTCAAGAAGCATCTGTATATTTATAGTTATCTTCATTGTGGTTACCACACACTAATTTAAATTTATATCATCTTAACTTCAATAGCATATAAAAACTCCAGCAGAGTGATGTACACCCACAGTCCCAGCTCCCTGGGAAGCTGAAGCAGGAAGATTATCAGGAGTTAAAGCCCTGTCTGGACAACACAACAAGACCTCATCTCTTAAAAAAAAAATTACACGTTTACAATTCTATCACTATGGCCTTTTTGATGTTAACTCAACAAAGAAAAACAGGTGCTAACTTCAGAAGAGTATAAAACCATCCCATTGTTCGCCTATGTGAATACAATGATAATACTCCTTAGGGAGAGACAGATTGTGTAATAATATACTCAGTTCAACATCAAGCCAAAAGAAAAGACAGAGACACACCCAGGGATTTTCTTAATACTTAATATTTGCCCTATAGATGACTCCTGCCATTTGAAATGCTTCACGTACTTTCAAGCTTTTTTTTTTTTTTTTTTTTGAGTCTGAGTTTGACACTGCAGCCCAGGCTGGCCTCAGACTCTCAGACTCGCATCAATTCTTCTACCTCAGCCTCC